GCCCAGCTTCTCACAGGGCACCCAGAAATGCCAGAATGGGAAGTGTCCCTGGGGGAGGGATGGCAGACTATGACAAAACACTCCAGCTTCCTTGTCTCTGGGTGGGACAATCTTAGGTACCTTCCACACAGTCGCTCAGAGGATCCCCTGGGGGACTGAGCCCCGGTGCCTGCCTGAGAAACACGCTCATCTGTACACCCTTTTCTGGCTTTCTCCCTCCCCTATCACACACCCCACTCCCTCCAACTTCGGGGATCATCACCTCCCGAAAACCACCTGCTACCCTCACCCACCCGTCCCCTCTCCCATCCATCTGCTCCTGCATTTGTCCGGACAGCACATGTTCGTGCTGCTCACTCTGCTGGGCCCCGTGCGAGATGCAATGGGCACAGCCTTGCCCATGAGGGCCCACATACGTGCGTGGATGGGCATGGGCTCCCGAGGGGCACTGCTGAGCCCCCACTCTCCACCAGGGAGCTGGCACAGGAGGAGGCTAAGTGACAAGCTGAGCCACTTTCCCCATTGGGTCATGGTTTCCCCACCCTGGGCTCTTTCCTGCATGTAACTTTCCAGGGAAGGTTCCAGCAGCCCTTGTCATGTCCGGCAGGAAGGAAGAACAATAGTTAACACTTGTGCTCACTACAAGTGAGCTGCTTTACACCTATTAAGCTTATTTGTCTTCCCAGCAGCCCTCTGATGTGGCCACCCGTACCAGGAACTCCACTTGACAGATGGGGAAAGTGAGGTACCCAGAGTCTAGTCCGAAGTGGTACAGTAATAAGAGACAGCACTGAGATTTCAGGCCAGACAGCCTGACTTCAGTCTGTGGTTAGCTTCTGTGCTTTACTGTTCGAGGAAGGAGGGGAGGCAGGAGTGGAGTTCGTTCGATGCAGAAGAAAGAATCCAAATACACATGAGGGTCGGGGAGGAGAAGGCAGATCAGCACAGAAAAACATGCCTGAACACACGCTCCCACACTAGTGTGCTTTGGCATGCAAAAATCCACACATGCCATGTGTACACAGACGCATCAACAGAAATATGTGTTTAGCCAACGCATATGGATCTGCTTAAGTGTGCAAACATAAGCATGGCCTACACACTCAGAGATTTGTTCATACACATGTGCATACATCTGGGCATCCAAAGGCCACCACATGTTACACACATGTGGACAGGTGTCTACATGCATGCATATTCACAAAGGCATACATGTGTACGCTACTTGATATCTGCCCCCATGCACACCTTGCTACCCATGGGCACCTACACAGATATTTGCATCTGTATGCCCTTACGCACACTGGCACAGACAAATACAAATTAGAGGCCAGTTCAAATTCTTTGCTTAAAGAAAACTTGTGACTGTATTAAAAATGTAGGACACATCAGCCAAATAATTAAAGTGAGGATTGAGGCGGTGGGACTTCCTGCCACTCTCTCGGGGCTGCCTGTGCTGGGTTGTGCTCAGCGCCGCTTCATCCTATATATTTGAGGAAGAGGCACTTTATTACAGTAATTTATCACCCCCATAAATGTGGCTCCTCTGTAACACAGAATAATTTGGGAAGAAATATGTTTTAAAAATTAAAAATGCAGTCGGCATGCGCCCCGTCAGGTCTGCAGGGAGACATCGCTGCAACTCCGGTAACTGCCCGTGTAGCTCTAATACCTACAACTTCCATTATTTAAAGTGTGATTATATTTTTCCTGCTTGGAGCTTTGTCAGCTATAAATAAAAGATAAGGGTGAATTGTTGCGGGGCCTAGTAAGCACTTCCATTATTGGTACTTAAGGGGGCTTGCGGATGGAGGGAATGGGCAGGGTGGGGAAGGAAAGGTGGCCATTTGGGGGGTCCTGACTAGGCCTGGAAGCTGAACTGCGGGCCTGGGTGGGCCCAGTCCTTTTTCTGGTTGACTTTTCTTTTAGATCTACTGCAACGTGACCCCATGAACCTCGGCTCTATTGCCCATATCCACCAGGGACCACAGTGAAAGTCATCTACAGTGCTGCCTGCAATGTCTCCCTCCATGCCTGACCCCCTCCTGGTCTCGCCAGGGACTCCACCCAGGGAGGAAGGGCCCTGGAAGAGAAAAGGGTTCATCCACCTGAAGATGTTTGTTTTTCCACAACCAGGAATTGGTGACTCCAAGGGAGCCTAGAGCCGAGGCTGGGTGAGAAAGAGGACTCACAGGGGACTGGCTGAGGGTGGGGGTCATCTTTATTAGCCAAAGGAGGTCTCTGAGTTGGATCAGAGAGTTATTCCAATTAAACAGAGACAACTGGGAAGGAGAGGCTATATAGAAAATATATGTATTTCATCAAAAAGAGAAAGGGAGTGAATCACAGCTTAGTGAAAAAGAAACCTGGACATCATCTCTTTGCCCCTCTCCCTGAATCCTGCACATTTCTCTAAACCTGAAAACCAGTTCATAGATACATACCTAAGGCAAGTTTTTCCGCTTCCTTGAGCTCATTTGTAAACTGGGCATAGCAACATCGTTTTCAGGATTATCGCGGCAAATAAGACGAAAGCTGTAGAGTGTTGGGACTGGCTCTTGCCATACTCCAGGTGCTCGATAATGGTGATGAAATAGTCAGATAGAAGTCCAGCAACCCCACTCCTTGGTATTTAGCCAAATGAGTTGAAAACATGTCCACGCAAAAACCCGCACACATCTGTTTATAGCAGCTTTATTTGTGACCGCCTAAACTTGGAAGCAACCAAGATGTCCTCCAGCGGGTGAATGGAGAAACAAGCTGTGGTACATCCAGACAGTGGACTGTTATTCAGTGATAAAAAGAAGCTCATTTGTAAACTGGGCATAGCAACATCGTTTTCAGGATTATCGCGGCAAATAAGACGAAAGCTGTAGAGTGTTGGGACTGGCTCTTGCCATACTCCAGGTGCTCGATAATGGTGATGAAATAAAGTCAGATAGAAGTCCAGCAACCCCACTCCTTGGTATTTAGCCAAATGAGTTGAAAACATGTCCACGCAAAAACCCGCACACATCTGTTTATAGCAGCTTTATTTGTGACCGCCTAAACTTGGAAGCAACCAAGATGTCCTCCAGCGGGTGAATGGAGAAACAAGCTGTGGTACATCCAGACAGTGGACTGTTATTCAGTGATAAAAAGAAATGAGCTACAGGCACAGTTACTGTTTAATGGGTGTGGAGTTTCAGTTCAGCAAAATGAGAAAAGTTGTGAAGATAGATTGTGGCAATAATTGCACAATGATGTGAATTCACTTAAGGCCGCTGAATTGTATGCTTAAAAAATGGTTAAAATGGGAAATTTTCACATCATGCATATTTAACCACAAAAGCGAAAAGAGGAAAACAAGAGAGATAAGCCACGAACAGGCGTGGAAACCCTAAATGCATATTGTGAAGTGAAAGAAGCCAGTCTGGAAAGGGTACATATTGTACGATTCCAGCTTTATGACATTCTGGGGAAGGTAAAACTGTGGAGAAAGGAAAAAGATCAGAGGTGGTCAGGGACTGGGAGGTGGGGGAAGGGAGAGAGGATGAACACACGGAGCACAGAGGCTTTTTAGGGCAGTGACACTGTTCTGCATGATTCTGTAACAGTGGATGCATGTCACTCCACATTAGCCAAAGCCCAGAGAATGCACAACACAAAAAGTGACCCCTAATGTAAACTAAGGACTTCAGTTGACAATAATGATGTATCAATATTGGCTCACCAGTTATAGCAAACGCACCACTGCGTTATGCAAGATGTTAATAACTGGGGAAACGGAGGGGGGTGGATTATATGGGAAGTCAGTGTACTTTCTGCTCCTTTTTAAACCCAAAACTGCTCTGAAAATTAAAGTATAAAATTCCAAATACAATTTAAAAATTAAAGCTCTAAAAATTTGTAATAAAAAAATTGGACAAATGTCAACCCTAGCCTTTTCCTTAGCACTTGACACAGTAGAGAGAAGGGCTAGAACGCATCTAACAATTGTTTCACCCAGTTGTTTCCAAATACTTTGACTTTTTGCCAAGCAACAATTTATGGGGCCCAATATACTTAAGAAGTTCACTGTGACCAGAGCAAACCGGAAGGAACCAGCAGACAGGTTTGGACTGGCTCAAGCGGCCTCCTGTTGATTGGGGCTCCCAGACCGTACCTGTCCGCAGCAACCCGCTGGCCTGCTTTAGCTGGGCTGTGTCAGGGGAATTTGTCTGACCTACATAAGTGGATGCAGATGATTCAGACCATTTGAAGCAGGTACTGGCTGGTTGCATTTGTCCCAAACCAGCTCAAACCACTTTGGATCGCCTGAAATGAGGCCCAAACCTAGGGTCAAGGGGTTTGCCCCAAAACAGAGCCCCAAAGAGATGCTGAGATCCATTTTGGGAGATCACACAGGGCATCTGGTGGCTCAAGCTGTATCACACTACTTGGGACTTTGCTGCTGAGGCTGGGGAGAGTGGTAGGCTCAGAGTCCCGCCTCCAGCCTCAACCCCTGGAGGCCCAGGGCAGAGAAGAAGAGGCCATTTGGGCTGGGCTAGGGAGAGGAGGATGGGGGGAGAAGGGAGGAGACTCTACTGAGAAAATGGGAGGAGGGGGATGGGATGGTACCCAGGGACAGTTTTGCAAGCAGCAAGGCCCCAGGGCAGGTCTGAGTGCTGATGGGAATCTACAGGTGGAGAGGAGGTATTGTGGATTGAGGAGAGAGGAGATAACAGTAGGATTCAAGTCCCTGGGAGGGTGAGGAGGAACACGACCCAGAGCACAAGTCGCAAGACGGCCCTCTGAAACGGGAGGGCATGTGGCCTCTGGGTGTCAGGACGGAGCCACCACGGGCGGGCAGAGTGGACAACAGGTCCACAGGGTGGGGGCAGGAGCGGGAAGACAGTCACAGCTCTTGGCACGTGTTCTTTCAGTGAGGTCTGGGGCAAGGTCATCTCCTGAGAGAGAAGTATGGTAGTGGTGGCACTGGAGCAAGAGTCTGGACAGTGGGGGCAAGTATTGGTATGGGGGTTTACAGAGTGAGAAACTGAGGCCATGCCAGGGAGGAGACTTATCCAAGGTCACACAGTTATCTCTGGCTGAGGAAGAAACTTCTAGTTCTTGGTCTTTCCTAAATCATTCACTCATTTTTCCAGTAAGTTCCCATTGAGTGTCAACTATAGGCTAGATGCTCTGACTACTGAGGCCAAAAAATTCAATTCCTGCCCTCAAATAATTCACTGCACACAGATATGAAGTTAATTCTTCATTCACTGAATATATTAAGTATCTTAACATAAACACTATTGGACAAAATCAGGCACAATTACAGTCCCTGCGGAGTTTGACATATAGTGATTTACTAGCTGTGGGATCTTGGGAAAGTGGTTTAATATCTCTGCTTCAGTTTACTCATCTATAAAATGGGGATCCTCCTAGTAGTCACCTAACAGTGTTATTATGGAGATGAAATGAGTTAATAGCATGTAATGTGCTTTAACACAGGATGCTCTCAGTGAGGCAGATATTTTTATTCTGGACAATGATTTCAATGCATGTATAGCATGTATTGTCAACAGACCCATTGCAGCAGCCTCGGTGGGTGCCCCACCCATATTCCCATGGAACCTGCTTGTCCCGTACATGCTGGTGGCTTCTGTTTGAGCACCTGTGATGTCTGCCTGAGTGCTTCCTCTCCACCCTGTTGTGTTGGTAATCAGAGGCCCAAGCACCGGGTTGTTAACACTTCCAGGACTGGAATGCATCTAAGGGTGCACAGGAGCAGGAGAATAAACAATTGCCCCTTGGGTAGGATAGCTACAGGGCGTGTTCTACTCTGCCAGGTCCCTGGTGAGACTGACTCCGTTGCCCACAGTGGGAACCTGGTCATCAGTATGCATGCTGTTGTCCTTCCTTCTCCATGTCACTTCCCCAGTCCCCTATTACTATTTCATGGGATCAGCTTTAAAATAAACCAGCTGCTTACACTCCATCTGTCTCAGGACCAGCTTCTGGGGAAACTCAACCAAAGGCAGCTGGTAGTACACTCTCAGGATGGGCTTCTGACACTGAGACACCACAGCTGGATGGCAGCAAGGCCCACATTGATGGTGAGCAGAGGACGCTAACTCCGGAATGTGCAGCCTCACCTTTGCTAAAACTCTCACCTGATTGGATTGGGAAGAGGTGCCGGTGGAAGGGACTGCGCTGGTTCATCCAGTGGCTCTAGCCTTTGAGAGACGAGATGGGTGCAACGGGAACTCCAAGGATCGCAGAGTTGTTTGGCTGAGGTTAACTGACATGAAAGCCCTGAAGGAAGAAGATGACAGGCTCAGGTCAGCCCACTATCATCTCAGGGCCCAGTGTGAAAGCCAGAAGCCTGACAGGGCAGCACGAAACTGGACCTTAAACTCCTGAAGCTGGAGGGCAGGCTGTGCTGACAATCAGCCCCAAGATCTGATTGAAAGAGACGCGGAGGCACACAGGGGGCAAATTTGCAAGCCCAGCCAGTCTTCTTGGCTGAAGACCAGAGAGCTGACAGAGAACGGCTGGGGCCCCAAGACCTGGGATGGGAACGTCACATGCCTGATTACCCTGATCCTCCCGCCTGGCTGGTGCAGCCACCCCTCCTCTTTGCCAGAGCCTCCCCGTGGTGGGAGTCAATGCAAAGGCCTCCGCTGAGGTGAATGCTTCTCAAGATGATGTGGACTCCTCCATGGCACCCCAGCTTCTCCTGACTGCTACCCAGACCGGTACCCAAACTCAGGTCCCAGCAGGGCCTGAGGGTTTGTGCTATTTCCTTAGCAGGAGGGAACAGATTCTGGGCTACTGTGTACTGGCAGAAACCAGGAGAACGCCCCCTGGGAGTGGATCTCCAAGGTCCTTATCCAGGCAGGGAGGATATAAGGTGCAAAAAGGGGAGGCCATCGATATGGGCCACTCTCCTAGGAGTCCAGACCCTGAGCCCGTCTGCTAGGGCTGCTGGGATGGCCTCGAAAGCCTTAGCTACAGAGTTGGTCTGCAGTAGGTCGGTGGAGATGACAGCACTGTCTTGGCAGAGCACTGGGGAAGGCGTCGAAAGGCTCCGAGAGGCGGCCACGTCCGGCTGCATCTGCTGTGTAAGACCAGAGCACCTGCCTACATACCCTCCTGGGTGCACAGAGGCAATGAAAGGTGTGCCAGAGGGCCTAGTGGAGCCACAGACACCCCCACCCTGGGTCAGTTCTCCAGTCCCTGAGTGGGTAATGGGGGTGGACGTACTTACCAGCTGGCAGACCCTCACATTGGTTCCCTGCCCTGTGCTATAGAAGAGTTCCTAACAGGGAAGGTGGAGTGGAGACCCCTAAAACGCCCCCACCCAAGAAGAAGATGACAGGCTCAGGTCAGCCCACTATCATCTCAGGGCCCAGTGTGAAAGCCAGAAGCCTGACAGGGCAGCACGAAACTGGACCTTAAACTCCTGAAGCTGGAGGGCAGGCTGTGCTGACAATCAGCCCCAAGATCTGATTGAAAGAGACGCGGAGGCACACAGGGGGCAAATTTGCAAGCCCAGCCAGTCTTCTTGGCTGAAGACCAGAGAGCTGACAGAGAACGGCTGGGGCCCCAAGACCTGGGATGGGAACGTCACATGCCTGATTACCCTGATCCTCCCGCCTGGCTGGTGCAGCCACCCCTCCTCTTTGCCAGAGCCTCCCCGTGGTGGGAGTCAATGCAAAGGCCTCCGCTGAGGTGAATGCTTCTCAAGATGATGTGGACTCCTCCATGGCACCCCAGCTTCTCCTGACTGCTACCCAGACCGGTACCCAAACTCAGGTCCCAGCAGGGCCTGAGGGTTTGTGCTATTTCCTTAGCAGGAGGGAACAGATTCTGGGCTACTGTGTACTGGCAGAAACCAGGAGAACGCCCCCTGGGAGTGGATCTCCAAGGTCCTTATCCAGGCAGGGAGGATATAAGGTGCAAAAAGGGGAGGCCATCGATATGGGCCACTCTCCTAGGAGTCCAGACCCTGAGCCCGTCTGCTAGGGCTGCTGGGATGGCCTCGAAAGCCTTAGCTACAGAGTTGGTCTGCAGTAGGTCGGTGGAGATGACAGCACTGTCTTGGCAGAGCACTGGGGAAGGCGTCGAAAGGCTCCGAGAGGCGGCCACGTCCGGCTGCATCTGCTGTGTAAGACCAGAGCACCTGCCTACATACCCTCCTGGGTGCACAGAGGCAATGAAAGGTGTGCCAGAGGGCCTAGTGGAGCCACAGACACCCCCACCCTGGGTCAGTTCTCCAGTCCCTGAGTGGGTAATGGGGGTGGACGTACTTACCAGCTGGCAGACCCTCACATTGGTTCCCTGCCCTGTGCTATAGAAGAGTTCCTAACAGGGAAGGTGGAGTGGAGACCCCTAAAACGCCCCCACCCAGCCAAGAGAGTATACCAGAGCCCTGCCTGCTGGGAGGAATGGCAGAGGTGAGCATGAGGATAGAGACGTGAGGACGCAGACGTGGTGTGCCTCTCTTTTCCCTACTCAGTTCAGCATCAGAGACCCTATAAAAACCTGATGGATCCTGGCAGATGATGGCGAGTTACCGCAAACTCAACTAAGCGTGGCCCCAGTCACAGTGGCTGTGCCAGATCGTCATGCCGCTGGCACTTAGTCTGTGCCTACTGGTCGGAAGAACGTATTGTTTCCCATGCCCCTCAGGAAGGAAGGTCAGAATCAGCTCGTGCTCGCCTGGGCAGAGGGCAGTACACCTGCTCTGCCCTGCACCTGGGTGATGCTAACTCCTGCTCTGTCCCAGTAGAACCCAAAAGGATCCGCACCATCTGAAAAGGAGGGCTGGGCAGTAAGGGAGGGGAGGGGCTGCATGGGGTCCACTTGGCTAAGCAGAAATCACATTTTCCAGGGTTCCCTTCCTGCATAGCTCTGGGGTGGTGTGGGTCACAGGACATTTTGGCAGGGGGGTGGGACTGGGAAGATGGAAGGGAAGCAGCAGATGTGTCTGTTTTCCACCTGGAAGGCGGGTGAACGGTGGGAGGTACTGTTGCAGCCCACGCATGCTGTCTCTTAGCCGCTGACTTACTCCTCACAGGGTGGCAGCTAGGACTGCAGCTTCTCCACTGCCTGCCACTTCTGTGTGCCAGGCACTGTTCCAGGGGCCGGGGATATGGCCAGACAAGCCAACTTTCTGCTCTTTCCAGTTTACATTCTCTCCAAGGTCAATAAGGGGGACAGAAAAGACTTCAAAAACCGATTCTCCATAGCAAACCTGTACCCTTGATCCTGTTCTAAACCACCTCCTGGTGCAGGTACGATCTCACTTCCGTGGCTACAGTGATCGACTCCATTCCAACCTTCCTATTTCTCTTCCTTCCTCTATTTCTGGTTCCTTCTTTATCTCTGTCTATCTCTTCTGGGTTTGTATCTTCAGAGAGAAGAGTCTGGAAAGGCTCACTCTGAACCGTTAGCAGTGAAATTGGGAAGGAGAGTTTTCCTGTTTATTTTATGCACAACTGAGGCAAAGAGAAATGACATGACGTGCCCAAGGTCGCACAGCTGGTAAGTAGCAGAGCTGAGGACCGGTCCCATTTCCTCCCATGACGAAGATGGCCCTCCGCCTCCCTCACCCCTCCCAGCGTGGCCCAGCCTCCAGACTTCAGTCCAGACTCTCCCCTAAAGGCCTCTGGTGCTGTCACTGCCTTCATCTGGCTCTGTGGTGCAAGCACAGAATTAGAACTTACCTCGTGGTGGGAGGTGGTGGTGATGGCTACAGAGAGAAGTGACTTTCAACTTCTAGGAATCAACTCTGACAATCAGATAGGCCGAGGGGCTGAGTCACTGGCAGGCCCCTCCAGCTGGGTGTAATCAGGTCAGATGGTGGCAGCGTGCAGGGGTGGGTGGGGATGCAGAGGGCTCAGTTCCACTTCCTCTTTCGGAGGCCCAGGCCCTCTGTGCTGTTTCTGTCTCATTGATGTGGAAGATTCACCCAGCAGGTGTCAATCCAGGCCAGTGAGGTGTGCTAAATTTAGGTCCTAGCATATCAAAGCCGTGAGGGCCTAACATCTCATTTTGTAGCTGAGGAAACTGAAACCCAGAAAGGTCAAGAGACTTGCCCAACGCCACACAGCAAATGAAAGGCACAGCCAGAACTCAAACCCAGGCCTCTCCAAACGTCACTATGTGACTCCAGAGTAGCCGCTCTTTCCAGACACTGACAGACAGAGGCCAGAGGCACTGTTTAGAAATACCCCTCAACTGGGCTGGGAGGGTAGGGAATGGGGCAATGCTCTGGATCTGAGACCAAACACTGGTTTTGGAGGCAAACATCTGGTTTCTAATCTTGGCCCAGCTGGCTTATTGTATGACCTTAGGCAATTATTTCATTTCTTTTTAAAATAGGCATAAAGGATACTGTCAGATTAAAGGCCCACATGCATGAACAATTGCCTAGAATATAGTAGATACTCAATAAATGTAAGTTCTGTTTCTTTATACAATGGTTTCCTAACTGGCTTTGGTGGAATCCCGGGCTCTTTGACCATATCTTGGGGGACCTGGGTGGGAGGGAGAGATGAAGCAGGCTGAGCAAACGGGGCTTGGAGCTCCCCACCATCCTCCTCCCCCGCCCCGCATGCCCACACATGCATATTCCCCATGAGCCAGAGGATTTCTTTGTCTTATAGGTTGGAGTTCTGCTGGAAATCTTTGTTTTAAAAATGGTTCAGCTATTAAAAATCTGGCCATCCACCACTGCCTTAAGATCACAAACTCAGAGAAGACCCACTGGAATCACAGAGTAAGAATCACAGTGTAATCATGGCACGTATGCACGTGACATATACATTATGAAATTGCATTTGGTTGTCAGCTTCCTGGGGCTGTGGGAGTCCGTGGCCAACCCTGTGGTTTCTCACTCAATTGCCGTGGCTCACTTACTTCCCTGCTAATGGAACCCACATTCTGGTGGACCACTGGGCCCCCCTCTGATTCCTGGTGGCCTTTCCCCACCTCAGGGAGGGAGGAAATGTTCACTAACGTGAGCCAGTCACAGTGACTCCATCTCTCTTGCCAGTGATCAGTGAGGGCATGGATGACAAACAGGCCTGAGACACAGCTCTGCCCGTGAGATGAGAGATGTCTATGGGGGAAGAGGTTTCTGGGGAGAGGTGTCCCCTGTGACCAAAAACAGAAAGCTACACGGAGAGAAGCTGTCCCCTTCTCCTGCCTCTCCAAGTGGCTGTGTGAAGACATGCGTCTGGCTCTGTGGCAGCCAGAGACCTGAGGGGACAGGCGTGAGGACAAGCTGAGTGCCCAAGAGCACCTGTAGCGGTCACTATTGCTACGATAACATCCTGAAACAGTGCTCCCGAACCAGTGACTGACAGCAGGCATTCCTTCTCACGTGCACAGCTCAGGCCAGGCCTGGGACACTCTGCTTCAGGCTGGGCACGGGGTGCCTCTGGTCTGTTCCACGTGTGTTTATTCTGGGCCCGGGCTGAAGGGGCCACAGTAACCGGGGAGCTCAGGAAGAGGCCGGCAGCTGTTTGCTGACCAAATCTACTTCAATATGTCTCCGAGCTGTGGACCTGAAACGGCCCTGCCCACCTCCGGTTTGCGCATCTGTGAGATGGACGATTCCACCAGCGGAGTTTCTGCTCCTTGCAGCAGGATGGCCAGCAGAAGCCGGGGTGCAGGGAGGGACCCCAGGGTCTCCTGGGGGGCATTTAAAAACATTAGAAAGCATGGATTCTCGAGGAAGCTACCGGGCCTGAGCACAAAGGAGAGTTCCAGATTTGAGGCTGTGGGTGGAACCTGAAGCCCCCTAGCTCCCCCAGCCTGGTGAGGTCGGTGCCACCCCCACGGGAGACGGCCGTCGTGTGTTTTGGACTGGAAGAGTGTTTTATCAACTTCTGCCTCACTTCAGGACTTCACCACCTCCACTGTAGTATCTCTGACCTGAGCGTAGAGTTTTGTCACAGACCCAGGAGTTGCCTGGGCCTTGGGTTCTGGAGCCCCTGGTGAGCATCTGAGGCTGGGGCAAGGCAGAGTCTGAGTGGAACAGAGGTCAGTGCAGAAGACTGAGCACCTCACAGGCCACCGAAGGAGCAGGCAGGCCCTGAGAGGTCCATGCACAATCGGGGGGCAGAGGCTGACAGAGGCAAAGGCAGCCCGGTCAGATTCATGGGCCCATGGAAAATTCCATTTAGGGACAAGCAGAACTATCTTCTGGGAGAGGTGTAGGTTTGTGGTGGACTGGAGTTCAAGGTCAAGGAGGTAGTCCTGGGGCCGGGGTACTGGCTGTACATCTTCATGTGATCCCATTGCACCTACAGGCTGGCAAGACCCACAAAGGCTTAGGTCATGGGCTGAGGTCCCCAAGTTCAACATCCATGTCTGCTGCCTCTCCAAGTCCCCAGTGCCCAGCCCCCAGCTAGAAGAGGGGTGGCAATGGGGAATGTTTGCTCAATGGATAAGAAAATAGTAACAATAAGTAACAGCAACAGCTGTATTTGTCTACAGGATGTGGGAGGTGTCCCAGGAGACCCTGAGGTTACCTGGGCATTTGATGTCCGATAGATACTGGTGTTTCTCCGCGTCCCTCCCTTTGCAGTCTGGCATTCCCCACCTGTCAGTCGGACCGAGGACGATGGCTGGGCCGCAAGGATCTCAGTCAGGCTGACTGGGAGGCTTGGTCACCAGGAGGATGGTTTCCACAGCTAAGGGCAGGTACCCAGTGAGGGTCCCCCATTAGTGATGTATATGGGGTGAGGGGGGCAGTGCATCTCCGTGGGAGTGACCACAGGCATCGGGGGCCACGTTGGCAATGGAGGAGGATGGGGGTGCAGAAGGGGGACTTCTGGGACTGGAGGGGACTCAAATGTGTCACAGTCCCTGTGGCCCTCAGGGCCTTGGGTGCTCTGCCCACATGATCTCACGTTGGATCGTACATCCTGCTCTGCTTTGAGAGGTTTTTGTCACCATTTCACAGACGAGAAGGCCAAGGCTTGGAGAAGGGAAATAGCAAGTCCTGGTGTGAAGAGAATGGGGATCAGCCGATGAAACTTACCTCGTGGTGGGAGGTGGTGGTGATGGCTACAGAGAGAAGTGACTTTCAACTTCTAGGAATCAACTCTGACAATCAGATAGGCCGAGGGGCTGAGTCACTGGCAGGCCCCTCCAGCTGGGTGTAATCAGGTCAGATGGTGGCAGCGTGCAGGGGTGGGTGGGGATGCAGAGGGCTCAGTTCCACTTCCTCTCTCGGAGGCCCAGGCCCTCTGTGCTGTTTCTGTCTCATTGATGTGGAAGATTCACCCAGCAGGTGTCAATCCAGGCCAGTGAGGTGTGCTAAATTTAGGTCCTAGCATATCAAAGCCGTGAGGGCCTAACATCTCATTTTGTAGCTGAGGAAACTGAAACCCAGAAAGGTCAAGAGACTTGCCCAACGCCACACAGCAAATGAAAGGCACAGCCAGAACTCAAACCCAGGCCTCTCCAAACGTCACTATGTGACTCCAGAGTAGCCGCTCTTTCCAGACACTGACAGACAGAGGCCAGAGGCACTGTTTAGAAATACCCCTCAACTGGGCTGGGAGGGTAGGGAATGGGGCAATGCTCTGGATCTGAGACCAAACACTGGTTTTGGAGGCAAACATCTGGTTTCTAATCTTGGCCCAGCTGGCTTATTGTATGACCTTAGGCAATTATTTCATTTCTTTTTAAAATAGGCATAAAGGATACTGTCAGATTAAAGGCCCACATGCATGAACAATTGCCTAGAATATAGTAGATACTCAATAAATGTAAGTTCTGTTTCTTTATACAATGGTTTCCTAACTGGCTTTGGTGGAATCCCGGGCTCTTTGACCATATCTTGGGGGACCTGGGTGGGAGGGAGAGATGAAGCAGGCTGAGCAAACGGGGCTTGGAGCTCCCCACCATCCTCCTCCCCCGCCCCGCATGCCCACACATGCATATTCCCCATGAGCCAGAGGATTTCTTTGTCTTATAGGTTGGAGTTCTGCTGGAAATCTTTGTTTTAAAAATGGTTCAGCTATTAAAAATCTGGCCATCCACCACTGCCTTAAGATCACAAACTCAGAGAAGACCCACTGGAATCACAGAGTAAGAATCACAGTGTAATCATGGCACGTATGCACGTGACATATACATTATGAAATTGCATTTGGTTGTCAGCTTCCTGGGGCTGTGGGAGTCCGTGGCCAACCCTGTGGTTTCTCACTCAATTGCCGTGGCTCACTTACTTCCCTGCTAATGGAACCCACATTCTGGTGGACCACTGGGCCCCCCTCTGATTCCTGGTGGCCTTTCCCCACCTCAGGGAGGGAGGAAATGTTCACTAACGTGAGCCAGTCACAGTGACTCCATCTCTCTTGCCAGTGATCAGTGAGGGCATGGATGACAAACAGGCCTGAGACACAGCTCTGCCCGTGAGATGAGAGATGTCTATGGGGGAAGAGGTTTCTGGGGAGAGGTGTCCCCTGTGACCAAAAACAGAAAGCTACACGGAGAGAAGCTGTCCCCTTCTCCTGCCTCTCCAAGTGGCTGTGTGAAGACATGCGTCTGGCTCTGTGGCAGCCAGAGACCTGAGGGGACAGGCGTGAGGACAAGCTGAGTGCCCAAGAGCACCTGTAGCGGTCACTATTGCTACGATAACATCCTGAAACAGTGCTCCCGAACCAGTGACTGACAGCAGGCATTCCTTCTCACGTGCACAGCTCAGGCCAGGCCTGGGACACTCTGCTTCAGGCTGGGCACGGGGTGCCTCTGGTCTGTTCCACGTGTGTTTATTCTGGGCCCGGGCTGAAGGGGCCACAGTAACCGGGGAGCTCAGGAAGAGGCCGGCAGCTGTTTGCTGACCAAATCTACTTCAATATGTCTCCGAGCTGTGGACCTGAAACGGCCCTGCCCACCTCCGGTTTGCGCATCTGTGAGATGGACGATTCCACCAGCGGAGTTTCTGCTCCTTGCAGCAGGATGGCCAGCAGAAGCCGGGGTGCAGGGAGGGACCCCAGGGTCTCCTGGGGGGCATTTAAAAACATTAGAAAGCATGGATTCTCGAGGAAGCTACCGGGCCTGAGCACAAAGGAGAGTTCCAGATTTGAGGCTGTGGGTGGAACCTGAAGCCCCCTAGCTCCCCCAGCCTGGTGAGGTCGGTGCCACCCCCACGGGAGACGGCCGTCGTGTGTTTTGGACTGGAAGAGTGTTTTATCAACTTCTGCCTCACTTCAGGACTTCACCACCTCCACTGTAGTATCTCTGACCTGAGCGTAGAGTTTTGTCACAGACCCAGGAGTTGCCTGGGCCTTGGGTTCTGGAGCCCCTGGTGAGCATCTGAGGCTGGGGCAAGGCAGAGTCTGAGTGGAACAGAGGTCGGTGCAGAAGACTGAGCACCTCACAGGCCACCGAAGGAGCAGGCAGGCCCTGAGAGGTCCATGCACAATCGGGGGGCAGAGGCTGACAGAGGCAAAGGCAGCCCGGTCAGATTCATGGGCCCATGGAAAATTCCATTTAGGGACAAGCAGAACTATCTTCTGGGAGAGGTGTAGGTTTGTGGTGGACTGGAGTTCAAGGTCAAGGAGGTAGTCCTGGGGCCGGGGTACTGGCTGTACATCTTCATGTGATCCCATTGCACCTACAGGCTGGCAAGACCCACAAAGGCTTAGGTCATGGGCTGAGGTCCCCAAGTTCAACATCCATGTCTGCTGCCTCTCCAAGTCCCCAGTGCCCAGCCCCCAGCTAGAAGAGGGGTGGCAATGGGGAATGTTTGCTCAATGGATAAGAAAATAGTAACAATAAGTAACAGCAACAGCTGTATTTGTCTACAGGATGTGGGAGGTGTCCCAGGAGACCCTGAGGTTACCTGGGCATTTGATGTCCGATAGATACTGGTGTTTCTCCGCGTCCCTCCCTTTGCAGTCTGGCATTCCCCACCTGTCAGTCGGACCGAGGACGATGGCTGGGCCGCAAGGATCTCAGTCAGGCTGACTGGGAGGCTTGGTCACCAGGAGGATGGTTTCCACAGCTAAGGGCAGGTACCCAGTGAGGGTCCCCCATTAGTGATGTATATGGGGTGAGGGGGGCAGTGCTTCTCCGTGGGAGTGACCACAGGCATCGGGGGCCACGTTGGCAATGGAGGAGGATGGGGGTGCAGAAGGGGGACTTCTGGGACTGGAGGGGACTCAAATGTGTCACAGTCCCTGTGGCCCTCAGGGCCTTGGGTGCTCTGCCCACATGATCTCACGTTGGATCGTACATCCTGCTCTGCTTTGAGAGGTTTTTGTCACCATTTCACAGACGAGAAGGCCAAGGCTTGGAGAAGGGAAATAGCAAGTCCTGGTGTGAAGAGAATGGGGATCAGCCGATGACTCAAGATGACAGTGACCTAAGGGATAAGAGGATTCAAGCTTGACTCAGATCCAAACCAGTCTCTGAGAGGGTCCACCTGGATAGGCGGGTGTGGCGGGCATCCCTGTGCCCCTCCAGCCCTCTACCCACCTTTCCTGAGACCTGCACCTCCCCCAGGACAGAGCCTCCCTGGTTGCTGCCTCACCCCCCTGCTCCCCTGAGGGCGGCGGCTGGACAGCATGGACTGTGGCTCAAACTGGGCCGATCAGCTTCGCCCCCTGGCAGCTTTGGCATTGAGATTCAGGGATGCTGGCTGCCTTTGGCTAGTTATTTGGAAATGAGACATAAAGTGGGAACAGGCTAGCTGTACTTGTCCATGTGTTCATAAAATGTCAAAGAAAAGACTTGATCATAGAGAAACTGAAATGTGCTTATGGGAGAGAGAGGGAGAAAGTGAGGCGGAGGTAGCGAGGGATGGCAGAAAGGAGGAGGCGGGCACCTGAGAGAGAAGCCAGGCGACCTGGGTCCAGAGTCTGCATGTTAAAGCCCAAGGGGTCTGAGCAAATATGGAAACTGCCACCAGAGCAGAATCCAGAGCTGTGCTGAAAACCAG